TGATCAACATATAACCTCCCCTCCCCCCCAGCACCCAGGGGACGAACAACAGAAGCCGTGGGGGAAGGGAGACAATGGTTGGTGTAAGATATGAAAATAATAATAATCTGTAATTTATCAAGGGGTGATGAGGATAGGCAGGGGCAGGAAGGGTAAAAAGAGGAGCTGATCCCAAGGACTCAATAGTAATCAAATGTCTAGAAAAGGATGATGGCAATAAATGTACAAGTATGCTTGATGCAATTAATGTATGGACTGCTAAAATAGTGATAAGAACCCCCAATAAAATGGTCTTTTAATTAAAAAAACATCATATGTATGTACATGTAATATTATTAAAATCATGTTGCTATCATAATATTGAGCATTTCTTTTGCATTTCACATGCATTGGACATGTGAAGCAAAATATTGATTGAAAAGGAGAAATTCACCACGGATAACACAGAGTCTTGGCAGGAGCCATTATTATGCATGCTAACTGTGGCACTCGTCCACTGACTCCTTCTCTAGGCGACACGGAGACAAGGAAGGCATCTGTGATAGTGGTATAGATTGGCCATTATCTGTAGTTGAGGCACTTTTATGTTTCTCTCTATATTGGCTTTTTCTATTGATATGCTGCAGCTGAGCATATTTCTTCCCTATGTTTTGCTGCCAAGAAAAGAAACCGTTTAGAGGCAAAAAGAGTAAGGAAAGGAACTATATGCTTACTGCTTTTTGATAGATAAAGGTTCACTTCAGCCTTGTGCACTTGGACACACTACTAAATAACTAAAAATTACAATTTACTAAGCAAGAAATTTCAAATTATGAGTTTAAAGTAAAATTTATAAAATTATATAGAATATTATATTAAAGCTTGTAGTCTATTTTTTAATAAACCGCAAAAATCAAATGCAAGTAAGCAAAATACCAATTTCTGAATTACCTGGAATAATATAAAATATTAAATCCAGTTTCTAAAGTATTACTAGTTGACTTATTAAGTAGTTAAATGTAAAAAAACTCATTACTCATGTTAAATTAAAGACTTTCTCAATACTTTCTTTTGAGAATGATTTAGTAACACCATAAAAATGCTGGCATTATTTCCATTTACCAAAAAAGAAATGGAAATAAATCTAGCAGCCTAATTAAAGTACCTCTTTCATTTTAAAACATGTTTTAAGCTATCCAAATATTTTCATAACACTTCAGTAATAAATGCACTTTTAAAAATTGCTGAAAAGTTATTTAAATAAAGAAACATACTTTTTATTAGTTTCACCTTTTAAGCTACATAAATTTGAAGCATTTTTTCTACAACCTATAGAGCTGTGCATATTTCACTGTATATATGCTAAACTCCTTGCAGTCGAAATGCTTTATTTTCTTTTTCCTTGAGAGCACCCATGATACTCCGATATAACAAGTACCAAACTCATGTTGCCACTTGAATATATAAGTTGTTATCTATTCAGGGTGTTCTATATTTTTAAATAATTCATCTCCCAGAAGACTTGTGAATGATTTTTGAAAAATACAACCCTATCTTAAGCATCTTAAGTACTTTCTATAAAATATGTTTAGCAAATATGTGGAAGAAGAAGGGGAATTAATTGAATAACAGAAGTCTCAACCATAAAACTAAAATTGCAAGACAATTAAGGTCAAAGTTTTTAATCATCTGGAAGGGTTTCGACAGTTCTCCATTTCATTTCCAAAGTCTAATTATCAAATACTTAATCTAGTTCTATACAAATTACTCTGATATCTAGTATGTTTTTGAAAGAGGATTTACTATGTATTTGAACAGAAGAAAGCCTTACTTGTCCTATGAGTTAGTTTGTATACTAATATAATGTTGGTCACAAATAGACGAAAAAAAATGCCAGATGAAAGAAAATTATCTGACATGTCTGACTTAGTCCTCTTTTATATGGTTCAGTTCATAGCAAAATAAACTCTGTAATTTACGAAATCTTTAGTATGCATTTATTCTAACTGTTCATATCATATTGTGAAAAAATAATTACTGCATTGAATAAATTGAAATAAGAAAGAGAGTGAAGCAAATATTAATACATGTTAAAATTAAATCTTTAGCACATTTATATTTTCAATTTACTGCTAGTAAGCATATTAATAAAATATAACTATTATAAATTGACTAGCAAAAGAGCTGAATTGGAAACCAGTGTTTTTAATGTTCTACCAGCACAATACACATGCACACTTCCCTGTTCACTCTTGCAAATTCATCAGTCATTTCACATATGCCAAATACTAATGATTTGAAATCTGGGGGGGGGGAAACTAAATTAATAAACTGTTCTTGCACTCACCAATATCATTTTAACACTTACCAAAATGACTTATGAGTTTAATTTCTCATATAAGTATTAAGAAAATATAAGCCATCATGTTAATGTTGGATTACTTAGTCTCATCTCATGCTAGATAAACATGTAAAAATGGTTAAACAGTACATTTCTATGGCAACAACGTAAATTCATGGATATTTTTAGTTGCAACAGCAGTCACAGACGCTACTACATTCTTAGACCATAAAACTAAACAGGACATCTGATTCCTTTCGATTTTTCGATCTTGCACAACTTAAATATCTTTTCCTTTGAACAAGAGAATACTTGACAAGATGTATAGAAATATCACTTAATACACATGTCTACTACAGTAATACTGGCATGTCATGTGAAGATAAAGCAACAAAATAAGAAACTGCATATTTTTAAGTGAGAGTGATATAGTAAGATTATTATGTGTCCTTCAAATAAAATACATATGACAGAGATATTTTATTAAAATGAATAAAACATTCGATCTCTAAATAATTAAAATTTTATATATAATATCATTGGCTATAAGTTTCCATTACTTCTATTCGACGCCTCCATTTTGAATTTTACCATGGTTTCTTAGTTAATGAAATATTCTGAGGGCCCTACCTCATTTTAGAATTGAAATAGAGCTAATGTAGATTGTATCATTTGAATATTTTAACTCATTAAATGATAATATACACACATATTTTTTCCTTACATTTTTTTAAGCATTTTTGGAGAAGAACTAAATTTAGCTCTCTGCAGGAAGGACACTTCTCTTTTGTTTCATGGAAAAATAAAGGACCATTGACACACACCAGATTGAGAAGAAATTGTATAGGTTCTTAAGTTATGCAATGTTGTTGGAGTGAGGTATTATTAAAGTTGTTGTATTTAAGGGACACATGTATGAATATGACTACTTTATTCTAAGAGTGAAGTTTTGGAAGGAGTATGAAGGAAACTGGTCTTAAATCCCATCCCACTTTATATCGTTATTGCTTTGAGTTTCTGCTTATTCTGTTTTTCCTCATTCATATAATAGAATTAGTAATATCTTAGTAAACTATGCTTTTGCCGTGAGGGTCAAATTAAATAATTATGCAACCACTTAACACACGCCAGCCACATAAAGACCATTTGAATACAAGAATACCATTAAAGCTACAATTTTAAAAATCATTTATTAAACCTTGACTTCTATACTATATTTTTAATTAAGATTCAGAATTAACTGGGAATTTTTCTTCATTTTCTATGAGAAATTCTGGTTTCTTGACCTACACTGTATATAAATATTAAAGGTTATTATCATGCCTCATTAGATATCATTAATCGTCAGCAACCACCAGAGACCTTCTGAATATACCTGCCATCTTTTCTTTTTTTAAGACTATAATTTTCTTCACCATATGACTCTGTCCTTCCCTGAATTCTCCACCATATGTAATTTTTGTGTGTGTGTGTGTCTGGCTTACCAAGAAACCAGTTGTGTTATCCCTAACTAAGACTTTTGTATGAAAAACAGAATTACTCATATGGTTGTCAGAGGAGAGTTGTTGATAATTTTACCAGCATGAAATGCAGTTCACAATGGAATTAAGAGGGGAGACATTGTAAATGTCCTTAGTAATGTAACATATATTTTTTAAGTTTCTAAAATAAATAATACCTATCCTGTATTATTTGTATTGGGAAATCACTGTATTGGGAAAGTACTTCCCACCCCAATATGAGTCCTAGAAATCAAATCTACTAACTTCTTGAACAGGGCTGATGTTAAGTAGTTAATAGTATATGTATCCACATATATTGATTAGATATGTCTTCTGCAGTTCTTTAACATCCCTCTTAAAGATGGAAATGTATTGGTGGGCAGACTCCATCAATGTGTGTTGTTTGCTCAGTGCAACCTAAATGCTGATCAAATAGACTTGCTTGGGCTTCCCGGAGGAATGTGATTGAGACTAGAGTTACAGTGGCTCATAAATTCAAACAGTTTAATGTTTTTCTTGTTAATTACTAACACACACACACACACACACACACACAAACTCTCGGATGATGGAAGAGAAGCACTTCTTTAGGATAATGATTGATTTCCATAAACATGAGTGCTAAGGAAATTCCAATATGCAGTTGCTGGGGCAGGGAGGGTGGGAGGCCACTAATTAGTTTGACCATTTTTTTTTCAGCAGATGTTGAATTCAAACTACCAGCAGCATTTAAAAAGCCAGTCATTAAGGTTGTCTTTCATTAAAGAGTGCTGACCAATGAAATCTCCACTCTCCAAATGAGACCAAACTAGGCAGCGTCAATTAAATCAAATCTTCACTAACATCTTTAATATATCTGCAGTGTGCAACACCAGCAGTCAGCTATGATGGATTTCCAGTATTAATACAGGATTCACTGCCGCATTGGGGGGGGGGGAGAGTTGAGGAAAGACCTTACTTGATACTAGCCCCATAGGATTACTGGAGGAGGAATAAAAGAACTGTGTAAAGGATAAAAAACAAACAACAACAACAAAAAACTGAGGCCATTAGAAGAAAAGAGCCTTAATGCTGCTGAGTAGAGCCCCACCCACCCTCTTCCCCTCCCCAGTCTCTTCCACCGCAAATCACATTTCCCAGATGCAAACATGAAGCTGGAAAAATATAAGGACCCAGAGTTCAAAACATTTTCACTTTAATACTGAAAAAATATGCCATTATAAAATCCTCGAATAGAATTAGTAAGTTTCACGTGCTTCCTCGGTTCTTTTTTCTTCCTTTATAAGTAAGATTTACACCAGCACAGAATTGCTACCGTAAAATCGCAGCCTAAGCACTAGAGTGACATTAATTGGTCATGCTTAACTGCCTCAAAATCTTTTCATATATATATATAATTACACTGATACTATAATAGAAATTATGGGTACTTATTTTACATTCAGATGGAAGGCATTATTGGATATGTATAGAAAAATATTCCCCTCAAAAATAAGATAAAATAAAACATCAGCATCAGAATAAAAGGAAGAGCCCAAAACAACCCGTAAAAACTTCGCTGAACAAAATACATTTTTAACTCATAGAATGGACTGATGGCGAGCCATGCAAATGTCTTAAATAAAACCTTTACATGTTTAAAATCATTTTCACAGTAATCTCTGGACTGCCTACCTATCACAAACAATGGCGGAATGGCACTTTCTGATTATACTGTGTCTTGTTTGTAGAGAGTTTGACTTGATGGGACTTGTCAGATGAGAGGGCAAGTGCTGAGAAAGAGATGCGTTCTCCAGTCGCGGGGAGGGCAGCGAGCGTCCTTGAGCACGTGATTCCATGCGAGCCATGCAGCACTTTGTGTTTGTCTGGTTTGGTAGTGGTGGTCGGTCGGTCGGTCGGTCGGTTTGTGTCAGGAGTCAAGTTATTTTTTTACAATACATTCATGCCTTCGTGCAAGCGTTGTTCCCTGAAGAGTCAGCAGGGAGCCAACACGCCCCCTCTCCTGTTGCGTTTAATCCACAGGGGGAAATAGCTATCATTCTACATTGATGCGGTGTCCCTGTAGCAGGTAGAGTTGCCTCCTGGGGACTTTGGGTTGCCTGCCGGGGCAGAGTCCGTTTCTCCAGCAGACTCCTTGCTGGACTCTCTCTGCCAAGAAGCTCCAGGCAGGCAGGCAGGGAGCTCTGACTGTGCTCAGCCAGGTTGCCCATCTGCACTGATTTAAAAAAAAAAAAATTAGCTTAACGTCCAAACCTTGAGTGAGTTCAACGTTATTTATGCACCGGTTTCTATCAGGCCTTAAGGCTGTCTGGACTAGGTCAGGGCTCTTTTAACCCCGTGGGGTGCCGGCTGCGCGGAAGAAGTCTCGCCTGCCGCCACTCCCCTCCTCCCGGGGTGGGTTCAGTCTGAGAGCGAATGGGAGCCACAGTCGTACACCCTGTGGGCCCCGTCAGTGCTGTAAGGCCCGCTGTGCCAGTAGGAAGAGTCGCAGACGGTCTGGAGGGAATTGATCTCGGACGCGGAGGAGTTGGCGTCCCTTCTCTTGGACCGCTTTCGGTTTCTTAGGATAAACACTAGCATGCCCACCACAGTGAAGGCGGAGGTGACGAACACCAGCAGCAGGCCCGGGACCAGAACGGAGATGGACACCCTGCTGGTGTCTAGGTAGGAATTGGAGTGCGTCCCGGTCTCCGCCAACCCGGTGCTGTTCTTGCTGTGCGAACTTAACGTGGGCGAGATCCTCGCGTACAGCTGGGGGCAGATCTCATCGTTGGAGAGAAGCATGAAATCCTTCCGGAAGAAGTTCACGGGCGTCTCACACTTGAGGTCGCTCATCAGCACTTCGGAACCCAGGCGTTCTGCCCATTGCTTGAAAGGCACTATCGTGCATGAGCACTCCCAGGGGTTGCCGTGCAGGTCGATCTGGATGATGGAGGTCAGCTGGTCCAGCACCCCGGCCACTGGGAGGTACATGAAGTAGTTGTTGTGCAGGCTGAGCTTGGAGAGCGAGACCCCCGCGAACACGTCCACCGGGAGGGACCGCAGCAGGTTGTTGTTGAGAATGAGGATCCTCAGTTTGGGCATGGCGTTGAACGTGCCCGGAAGGATGAGCTGGATCGCGTTGTACTCCACGTTCAGATACTCCAGGTTCTGCAGTCCGGCAAATTTTTCCCGGGACAGTGTGTCCAGGTAATTGCTATCCATGTACAACCACCTGAGGTCCCAAAGGTTCTTGAAGGTGTTGTTCTCCACGGTGGCGATGTTATTGTTCCCCAGATCCAACAAAATGAGGCTCTTGTAATCCAGAAAGTGTGATTTCCGAATGCTATGAATCTTGTTGTCTCGCAGGAAAAGCTCCTGCACGTTTGCGAGCTTGGGTTTCAAATCAGCCAAGCTGCTCACGTTCCGGTTGTTGCAGTTCATCTTTAAACCAGACCCGGGGACTTGGTCGCAGCTGCAGCCCCCGGGGCAGGGCAATCCACTGGCTGGGGGGTTGTGCCTGCTGCTGCCAGTCGCTATAGCTGCTGTGGGTCTGATCTTGATTTGCCAATTGCCTGGGATCTTTGTACCTCCGTTTGGAGCAGACCCTGGGGTAGCCTGATCTTCTTGCCCATTTATCTTAAAAGGAGTTGGCAGGGGACCAGGAGCGAAGGTTTCTTCCTGGGCAGGGGGCGCCGGGAGACTAGAATCCACTCGGTTTTTCAAAGGGCATAAGTCTTGCTCCGTGGTTTCATTGAGGTCTTTACCCTGCAGTCTGTTGGGGGCTTCGCAGACCACTCGGCCAATTAGGGCATTTTTGGGAATGTTCTCAAGCCATTCTTTCAGGGAGAGCAGATCACAGGTGCAGTCCCAGGGGTTATCCTCCAGCAGGATCTCTGCGATGCCGGGTATTTGTTCCAAGACCTCCTCGTAGGGCAGGGTTTTCAGTCGATTTCCTCGGAGGTCCAGGTGGGTGATGGGCACATACTGGAACACGTTGGCAGGTAGGGTGCTGATTAGATTGTCGTTTAAAATGAGCACCTCCAGCTTGTTCAAGTCCTGGAAGGCCCCTGGGTCTATATCCCGCAATAAATTAAAATCAGCCTGGAGGTATTCCAAATCGTCCAGCCCCAGAAAAGTCTGCTTCCGAAAAGATTTTATCTTGTTGTTGTTGATGTGCAGCCGTTTCACCAGCTGCAATCCCAGAAAAGCCCCCGGGACGATTTCATGCAGGCCATTGTTTTCCATGTGCAAACTAACCGCATTGTAAAAGTTGGCGAACTCATTAGGGAAAAGTCGAGTGAGGGAATTGCCATGCAGAAATAAATGGTAAAACTGGGACGTCGGGGCGGTGAAACGCTGCAGACTGGTGAAGCCCTTTTTCTCACAGTCTACGTGGAGGTCCCCTTCTAGTTCACTGCAGGAGCACACCTTCTCTTTGCAAACGTCCCCGGTAACGTTTCCCGCGGCCAAACAAAGAGATGTCTCCAGCAACAGAATCCAAAGCAGCATTTTTAAAGCGAGCGATTCATTCCCGATCTCGTCACAGAGTAACAGCGACCATCCTGCTCGCCACGGACACAATTCAAGTTCATTTAGTGCTCCGCTGCCCGAACCTCCGCAAGGAGAAGAACGGGCTTTGGGGGGGTGGGGGTGGATTTCTTCCTCCCTAACCCCCCCGCGCTGCAACAGCCCAGACGCCAGTCAATAATTATATTCACAAACTATCCAGGCACGTAGTGCAAAGCAAGCAAAAAAAATTTTTTTTTAAGTAGGGATAAAGAAAAACCGACTGCCCTTCAACCCTTTGAAAACAACCAAAAAGAAGTTAGATAAATACATACAAATTTTAAAAGACACCCTTACAGACGCTCGTTTGGCGGTCCCCCTACTCAGAACGGGAACAATGCTAGCGACAGAAGCAAGTGCACGTTAGAGAAACAAGCAGGGGGTTCACGGGAGCACAGGCGCGCTGTCCTGTGCACCGGACTGACCTTGCCTCTCCGAGACCAAGCGGGCTTTCAGCGGCTTCGGCGGGGGCTGCCGGGGCTGGAGTTCCTGCGGAGGCGGCCGGGCGCCCGGGGAGCCCCACCCGCACGCCCCAGGGTGCTGTCCAGTGCCCTGGTGCTGAAATCACGCCCCGACCGAAAGACTCACGCTGCGGAGCCAATGGCGCTGGAAAATGTCCGCAATCGCTGCGTTTCGTGGTTGTCCATCCTCGTCTTTGGCTCGCCTTCAGTCCCCTTCAGCCTT